ATTTGAAGTTTTGATAATTTTAATGGGAATACATATGTCAATTCATACGTGTACACTCACAAAAATACCCCCAATAATAAGAGAAGTTAGTATTATAATATAACCTTGACAAAAAAGCATTATTTTAACATTATCTCAAAAATGCATTTTATCTATCTGTGTAACTTCATGTGGAAATCCTAATGAGATTTAAAGTTCAGTTCACAACTGACGGTTTTGCAATATCAGGGCTTGTCAACTAGTCCATAGAGGCTGCAAGATTTTTTCATAAATATTGTTTTCACTGACATTTATTTTGTATTTACATTGACCATGAGGCCACAGTATATTTTTCTTACTGATGTGACTACAGTCACTGTGTGGTGTACTCTGCTAGACAGTGCACAGTACTTTGTTCGGAAGCATAAATATCGAATTGTTCGAAGCATGAGATTGTAATGTAAATTGTGTTCATTAATGTTGTACGATGACGTTATCTCCCATGTTGACTATGTCCCGGCCCGTTTACTTACTTCCTGTCAGTGTCTGACTGGTATATACAAAATGCACCCAAGTAAACGTCAGAATAATAAAAAAAACAGTAACCTAAACATTAGTTGCCCGTGTCAAGAGAGCCGCAGAATCAAAACAGTCTGTTAGCCGTCGCTGTCCACAGCAGCGATATGACTCTATACATCGAAATTGCGAATCGCAAGTGTAGACATATTGCATAAAAATGAACACTAAATACATCTATCCTGGCCATCAAACGAATCATCAATCTTCATGAGTGATGTAACTGGTATTTTCATCTATTTGCTTCTATTCCCAGTTCCACTATCCCAAAATGCTCAAGTGAATGTTTACTTAGTTTGTATATGATACCTATAACCCCGCATATCAGATCACATCATTATGAGGAGATTTATTGGCGGGAAAGAGTTTCCGAACATTGGTGGCTTCCTACAAAGTGTTTGGACCTTTATAAGATTGCGCCATGTAAAAAACTCGTTCAGTTTCTATTGTTTTATAAGATGAATATAGATTGTTGTAAAAGGGTTTGATTGCTTGGTCCGACAGAAATAAAACCATTTTTGTTCAGCTGGTTTATTTGAGATTCGTTAGCAATGTATTTTTTTACTAGTTGTAAAACGTATTTTGTATTTATTTTTCCAACCAGTTTCCTCGTTTATAATTGTATCCCATATTTTATCTTTTGTTTCTTTTCATTATTCTACTTACATCAGTGGATGGATTATCCACCAACTCCCTTTCGGGTTCTTGTTCCAATGTGCTCACTTTTTCCCTATGGTCCTGTGATAGGAATTCCCATGTACTCCCATACCGATCGCGAAATCTCCAATGATTTCACCGACTTTTGATTTCTCACCCGCCAAATATCAACGATTTATTTAGGTCATTATGTTTCAATAATTAAATGATTTTGACCAGTGACATGTTTTTGATTTTTGAATCACCAAAGATCTGGGTATTTGTTTCTTTTAAATATTTCAATAGCTTCTTCCGATTTTTGATAAAAATTACCATAACATGTTTCAGTTGGTCATAGCTTGTTATGAGAAAAATGATATAGTTAGTCACGTGGTTTGGCTGACATTTTGGATGGAAGTAAAACCGAAATAAATAAATGAAACATATTTGATTGTGGGCACAAGTCACGTATAAGTAGAAACTTATTTTATTCCCGTTTGAGTGGTATTCACATGTAATAAACAAATAATTTCATATTTATGTTTAATTATATGCCAACGGAGTCGCATTTAATCCTTAATCATTTTAAGACAGAGAACACTAAGTACATTTAGAAATTCTCTGAAAATTCTGGAAGAAAGTCTCGTTAACCATTACATTCAAACTATTTACGTATTTATGTACCACGAAATATTCCATGTAGTATTATTGTTAACCCTCAGTAACACGTGCGTAACTGTCAGTCAATTCAAAATATTTGAATGAATTATAGCATAAACGTCTATGATCTCATAATTCATTTTGTCTCTTAATTAGTCAACCTTGACTTTTCTCACAATAGTTCCTTGTAGAAATTGTTTTATTTATATTCAACGCACATATTGTCAATACGCAACGTTGCAATCAGTGTTTTAGGCATGTTTGTACTTGTAAAAACTACTGTGAAATAACAGTTGTATGTATCTGCAACGAAAATCATTGAAAAATAATCTCGTAGCATTGCCCATGGTTGGGGAATTTTGGGTTCGCTAATCTCTAATGCTAAATGGATTCCGTGTTTGAATAAATAATATGTTATTAAATATTTATGCAAAAAATTCAGACCAAAATATAAATCAAAATGGTCATTTCATTAATGCGTTTTGAACACAAATAACCAGATGCGTGGTTGTACATCTGCGTAAAAGTAACAAGTGTTTAGAAAAAAAAAAGAAGTTCGGTAGATGTGTAAAACTTGTGCATAATATTATTATATTAAATGCCCCAATAACTACCCCGTCACAAAGTATGTACAGAGATGAAGTATTTTTTAATACTGGATGTGACCTCAATCCGTGTATTTTACCTTGTATATAACGTTACTTATCTGAACGGAAACAGCTTATTATACTAAACGGTAATGCTAGTGTAATATTTCGAGTTCCTCTTTGGTCTGTCTTGGCCTCATCGTTATAAACACAAAGAATATCGTTGGATATTAGTGAAGATTTCTGAAGGTAACTTGCACACGGACTCACAGAGTATATGGCACAAAAATACGCAGTATGTATTCAACGCAAATCTAACTATCGCCTTTCAAATCAGGTACCGTCAAGATATGTGCACGCAAGAATCCGTTATGCAATGAACCGTAATAATTAATTGTGTTTTAATATTTGTTATATATTACACTAATAATATGAGATTATCCCGAAAATAAGTATGAACCAAGGCAGTGCGACGATCGTAACAACCAGTGTGTTATGAACACTTTGGTTTGTGTTCAGGGAA